ACCAGGGCTCAGGTTGTTGCCAGTTTGCTTGAGAAACAGGCCCAACAGCAGCCAGCCAGTGCCCATACCCTTGAAGAAACCAAAGGGTATCTCCGTTGCACAACCTGTGGACAGAGCACACACAAGAGGACAAATGAGGATGTGCTTTTGCAAACCTTTGTTTGAGCACAGGGATTCGACGACGTCGGGCTGCTTGGTGATCAATCCCGAGGTCCCGCATCACCGTGACCACTTGTGGTTCGTGTGGCTGGAGCAGAGCTTTGAGCTCCCGGTCCGTGGCTTTGTCAGTGGCCAGAAAGGCAGTCTTCTTGGCATTGACCCGTAGCCCAAGTTGCTGGAGTCTGGTGTGTAAGTCACGGTATGCCGCTCTTGTGGCTACTTGGAGTGGACTGCGGCCATGGGTATCGTAGCCAATGTCATCGACCCAGCTGGTGAGGTGAATGTTTGGGTGCTCCTCCCTCCATGGGACCAAGGCTGGGGCAAGTACAGCCTTAGCAAGCAATGGCGCTTGCGGGCATCCTGCTGGTATTCCACGATCAACTCGAAAGAATGGGGTGAATTCTTGCTCGGCACTGATTGCCTTGGGGCCGGTATACAGCTGCATCGCCAGTTCTAAATGCAGTGGTGGATAGTTCAGCTTGATGGCCTCCTGCTGTAACTTTTCCAGCGGAATTGTGTCATAGAAAGTTGACATGTCCATTAGCACGGTGATGCCATGACGGCCACGCGCTCGGTGGACTTCTTGTCTGAGGAGTCTTTCTAAGGCCACAAAGAGTACATTGGCGCCTGGACGAGCTTTGTCATGGTCCATAGCCATGGGCAGAGTTCGTTGCCACTGGTCGAGCACAGGCTTTCTGAGGCGGCACCATGTTCTCCACAAAGTGGAGGTCAAGGTGATGGGACGTTCGATTGTGGCATTCTTTGGCAGCATGACCACCATGTGCATTTGCATCTGGGTGGGAAGCTGTGCCTGTTCCTCCATGTGCGGAACAGTTGGAGCAGTGGTGCTAGGGCAAGTGGTGGTGCTGCTTTAAGCAGCTGGATGGAGACTGCATCAGGGGCACTGGCTTTATCTGGGAGGCCCTTGAGGACCCGGCTCAACTGTCCCACTGTGAGTGGTTCCAGGGCCGCAGCCTGGGCTTGAGCTTCGGGTTTGAGGGTGTGGCGTGGGTGTGGATCGTTGTCAGGTCTCACTCCCCAGAGGTCTCCCCAATCCTGCAGTCGTTCGCTCATCCGCTCATGCATAGGAATCTGCCTGTACGGCCTGAGCCAGGCCATTTCACTTGTCTTGAGTCCTCGAAAAAGGCCTTTGAGGCCTTTCTGTTGGCCGGTGAGGAGCCATTCCCTGGTACTGGAGCATACTTTCATCATTGGCCTGTTGTTGGGCTTCCTTGTGCTGATGTGTCATCGTCTGTTCCATGAGATCAGCTGCATGGGGATCTCTGTATTTGTGCCAGTGGTAAGTGGTGTCAAGAAACTGACCCCATGTTGGTGGCCCTTGCCAATGCTTCTGCACATCCTTTACCATCTTCATGAAACCTCGTACTGGTCCGTGTTGGGCCTCAGCCGGGTGTTTGATCGTGAGGTGGAATCTGGCACGAAGCTGTTCCCAGTATGCTGGGCGGCCTTTGCGCCAGGTTCTGGTAGGGCCGATGGGCAGCAGTGGTTTGGTGACTGCCCTGAGGTTTGCTCCACGTCCTTGTGCAGCCCAAGGGTGCTCTTGCAAAACGTATTGCTCTGTTTTGGAGATCCAGTCTGCCCACTGTTGCGCTGCTTCATTGGTTGGATTGTCGTACAGACAAAGTTCGTGAGCCTGGCTTTGGTACGTTGTCCATGGTCTAAAGTCGATGTCCGGGACTTTGGGCAGAGCTGGGAAATGCTGGATCTGGCGGTACTCACGAGTGGCTGCCTCAATGTCAAAGGTCAAGGTGAGCAATGCATGTGGTCGCCAAGGGACGGCCCAGTCAGTGGTCAAAGCAGTGGTGCTGGCCAGCTGATCATGCAACAGCCCATAATCCAGGACATTACCTGACAGGACACTGTGGTCTGGTGCCAATATGCCAATATGACAGGACACTGTGGTATGTATGTATGTATGTATGTATGTATGTATGTATTTTTTCTCAAGTTGCTCTTGTGCCGTTGGCCTTTGGCCTCAGTTCTTCCTCGGGCTCAGAAGTAGTCGACTTCGAAGAAGGGGTCTTCGGTGCGTTGTTCTTCTTCGCCCTGCTCGTGTGAGCTCGTGGCCGTTGGTGAGAACCGGAGCTTTTTGGGCGCAGGAGGTGACTTGAGCCCTTGTGCACCCTGGGTCTCTGCTGCCTGCCGTTGTGGTGGCTGGGTTCTCTGGCCGGTGCTGGTGGCTTGTGGTGCCTGGCTGTCTGCCTGACTTTGCTGGCTCTGAGTGCCAAACAGTTGCGGCAGGGTGGGTGACTTCTGGGTATTGCCCTGACAAGGTTTCTTGAGGGCCTTCGTCATGATCACCCGGTCTTCAGAATCCAGATGACTTTGGGTGCCACAGTTCAGGCACTTGATGCCCTTGCCTTTTTGCCACAAACCATGTGTGTGGTGACCTTCGCGGGTTTTGGTGTAGCTCTCATCAATGCAGCGGCTGTGGAGGAAGGCCTGGAAGCTGTCTTCGTTAATCCTTTTGTGGATGGACAGGCTACATTTTGTGCGCTTGAGGTAACCAGTAGTCTCCTGGTATGTGTGCTCATCAGCCGCCTGAGGGTGTTGCTGCTGGACAGCCAGCAATTGCTTGATGGTACTGGCCCGGGTGAGTTTCTGTCCAACTGCCTTGTTGGGGCGTAGGTCAGGCTCTGGGGCCTCATGCGCCAGAAGGTCACAGTCTTCTTGAAGATGCCATTCAAGGAGTTCGACTGTGAGGCCTTGGTGTACTCGGGTGTGGCAAGTGTGACATTGGTAGCCGCTCCGGTGAGGGGTCCACTGGTGCTTGTTGGGCTGCCATGGGAGCTTACATTGGTTGATGAGCCTCTTTTTGTATTGTTTGGTATTGTGCCCGGCTCGCCTGATTGGTTTCTCATGTATGTAATCACGAAAGCTAGCGAAGCTAGCTGGAGTTACTCTTGCGATAGCAAGGTTTCTTTCGACTGGGTGCAAATCCTAACCCCTGATTTTTCAGGTCGAAGACCCCCCCCCCCCCCCCCCCACCCCCCTCCCCACTCCCCACTCCCCACCTCCCCTCTCCCCACCTCCCCTCTCCTCCTCCTTGTCTTCCTCCCATCTTCCCTCCGTCCCTCCCTCCTCCCTCTTCGCAAGTTCGACTCCGTCCTGTCGTCGCTCTTTGGCATGCGGTTAGCGTTGCGTATCTTGCGGCCGCACTCGCTCACTCTCACTCTCACTCTCTCACTGTCTCACTGTCTCTCTCATCTCTCTCATCTCTCTCATCTCTTTCTCATCTCTCTCATCTCTCTCTCCTCTCTCTCTCTCTCCTCTCTGTCTCTCGTCTTTCCGTCTCTCTTCTCTCTCTTCTCTCGCAGGAGGATCCGGGCAAAGAGCCACATATAAAGGACTCTTCACCCCTGCCTCCAAAAAGAGCGCCGTGTTTTTTCCTACCTCGCTGCCCTCCACTTTCCCATTCTGGAGCGCTAGCTTTCGCCCCCCCCGTGGCCTCAAGTGCTGAGGATCCTTGAAGATCTTCTCCAAGCGAGCAGCAGCTTGTTTGTAGATCTGCAAATGGTCCTGGTCAAGTGTTGTTTGCCAGGCTTCAGCTTGTTTGTCATAGAGCGTGCTGGCTCGCTCATATGCCGCCAAGGCAGCATCCCGTTACCTTCGCCTCAAGTGAGGTTCATTTCCTGGTGCCTCTGGTGTTCGCGTGTTCTTGTGGATATAGAGCGGGGTGATGTTGTGGTAGAGGCGGGCATCAAAACCTCGTGTGAGGTCTTCAAAACCTTTCCGCTTTCTGGGGTTTGTCCAAGCCTCCCAAACTGAGCCAAGTTGCACCACCACATTTACTGGCGTGAGGACATGTTGGGCCAGGGTGAGGAGGCCTTGGAAAAGGGCCCGGGCCTTGGTCTGGGGACCTGGTGCCATGCCCGTGATGGTGCCCTTCCTCAACAGGGTGCCCACGGAGTAGGTGTGGACACAGAGCCCGAAGATCCATGCCTGGGATCGCTGGTCATAGGAGGACGGTGTGGCATCCAAAGTCACCGAAAGTCCTTGCCAGGGCTGCAGGGGCAGTGGTTCAAGAGTGCTCCAGCAACCATGTCCTTGGAGGGGTTGGGCAACCTGGAGGTGGTCCTGGGGTTCTCTAAAAATCCACCCGTGTGCCCAGAGGGGTTCTTCGAGTGGGTCCTGGAGCCGCTCTGTCCATTCGATGGCCAGTGGTGCATGCCCTTGGTTGTGATGCCAAGTGCACAGCCAAACGATATGCTTGTGCGTGGCAGGCACTCCGCATAAGGGGCAGGTCTTGGTCTTGTCGCCTTGGCGGTAATGCAGACTGACCAGGTCTTGACAGTTTTTCTTGCTGGCAAATCGGCTTGTCCTCTGCTGTTGTGCTTCCTGGTGTAGTGTGTGTTCGATGGTTGCCCAGTCATCCTGCATGTTGATGTGGGCTTCTGTCATGAAAGCCGTTTCGTGGCGATGCCATTGGTAAATGGACTCGGTCGTCCAGCCCCATTCTTTCAGGTAGGCTAACGTGGCCGCATGTATGTATGTATGTATGTATGTATGTATGTGTGTGCGCATGGAGATCATAGAAGTGTAAGTGTGTGTGTGTGTGTGTTTTTGCCTTAGGTCTTGCAATGCCACTGCTGCTCCCCACAAACAAGAATGCTGTTTTACTGTCTAAGGATCCATAGTATGGAGTCGTAAAAGGCGAGGTAGTACTTCCAAAGAACGAATTGACACGGCGGCTTCGGATTTTCGAGTTTCACATTATCATTTTCCAGACACACTCCTTTCGCAAAACCAGATGTGCCGTCAATTGTGGACTTTCTGACCAGATGTCATTCTTTTGGTTTGAAGCCTCGAAAATATGACAGGACGCAAAGCTTGCTTGGTGCAAGTCTGGTCTTTTAGGGGCAGGCTCCCAAAAGGAGCGCCAAAGGCGCGACCTAGACATCCAATAGTGCTCCAGGATAAGGGCGGCAGTGTCAATTCAAGCAAGGTGAAACACCTTTGTTTCACCAATGTTTGATGGAGAGCTACTGTTGATTATTTTCTTCATTTGAGCAACTTTGAAAATGCTGAATGCATGGACGGCTCGCATTTGTTGGTACAAATACTTCAATGCCTGGAATGGAGCAGAAAGGTCTTCTGCTGAGTCTTCATGAGAAGCGTGACAAGTGAAAAGCGTCGAGCCAAGCGGCCTGTACAAAGCTCAGCCCTTGGCGCTTCAACGGTCAGATTGTTTGCTTTCCAGCTTTCAGAGTGTTTGTGTTTCGCTGTTCAGAAAGACAGAAAGACTCCGGATGACTCCGGCAGTTCTGTGCCTTGGCCATTCGAGACTTTGTGAAGAAACCAGGTTGGTGAGTGGCGAGAGTTTGATGAACGACGGTACTGCCATTGTGGTCTTTGTGCTCATGCTAAAGGCGAGGGAAGCTTCTCTCAGATCTAGCAAGAAGTGCACATGACCAAGCATTCAGAGCGCTAGCGTCCTGTTACCTTCATAAAAAGTTGAGATGCTACATTTAGCTTCCCACTCAAACTCAAGACCAAATATGTCAAGACAAGGTGAACCCACTGATAACTTTCAATCTGAAACCACCATACTCTGTAAGCATAGTCCAGAAACCATCAGACGCACAAGATTAGTAAGGCGCTTCAAAAACAAAGGGCAGTGTCTTTTTCCAGTGCTGGCTACCTCCTTTGGTTGCCAGTGTATGAGGCAGTACTTGGGGCTTCACTCGATGCGATGTCAGTGATCACTTTTTTCGGCCGCTTGGATCATCAGCTGAGGCCTTCTAAAGCTCAAGCTAGTGAAGGAAATTGCCTGATGATGTTCCATGTTCATAAGCAGCTCAAGCTCCAAGGCCACCAAAAGTTCAAGATTAGCTATATACTTGTTGGTTTGCTACAGTTGCCGACTCATTCCTTATTGGCATGGATCACCCTGCAGACATCCCGCATCTTTTGACAGCTTCGACTCGAGGTCATATGTCTTTGACTTCCATAGGTTTTGGAGCTTTGATTGGTTTGCTTGCAGTGGCGATGATTGGCAAATGTGCTGAGGAACGTTTTCATAGTGCCACTCAGACTGAAAGGGACAAAGTCGTGTCGTGTAGCTTTGTTTGTTGGCGCACTGAATGCTCGACAGTCTCATTGCTTGTTTGTGCAACATGTGAACCATTCTTCTAAAGCCACACACTGGTCGCTTCGATCCTGTTTTCCCTAGAAATTCTCTCGGAATTCTCTCTCAGGACTTTGATCGATTAGGAGATACCTTGCAGCTACCTTCATGGAAAAGTCTAAGAGCGTAGTGTCTATCCCAGTGTTTGGTCTTTAACTTCAAGATTAGGCCGTCAACCTTTTGTTCTATTGTTGCACTTAGCATTCTTGATCCGAATGCCGCCGTCAAACCACTTCTCTCGCAAGGCAAGACCGTGCACAAGCCTGCGCAAATTCACCAGCAATCCCACAGCGCAATCAATGACCAAGAGCCAACCATTTTGTGGACCTTGTTTGCCGTGTCAGTAATGATTAGAGTCACCACTTGGTATCAGCATGCCCAAACATCGCCCCAACCCTTCAAATCTCACCTCAATGGAAACTGATATGGTCCGATGATGATATGGTCCGATGAGATCCCATGGTCAATTGTGTCCAAAGCGGGCAAAATTCATCAATTTATTGAAAGTCAACGCTGAGGACAGCTTGATTCAGGTCATTACCACGTTTCTGAGCTGCAAGGAGGCGACAATCAATTGCGGTCTCCGGATTCAGTTTGCAAATTCAGGGAGTGGGGTGGGCTCATCGTGTGGGCAGCGGACCTGGCTAAGGCTGTGCTGTGCTTACTTAGCCTTCTTCTTGGGGGAGAGCGAGTTGGCCACCAGCGGTGTGTTGGTTCGCTCACTCAGAGCATTGAAAATCCTTTTGGAAAGATGACAACGAAAAGATGTGTCTAAAATCGTCATGACCCTGTCCATTGGTGTGGTGCACATGTATCCGAGGCAACTGTGTCTGCGGGTTTCATGGTGGCATACTTTGCTTGGCCTCGATTTGTCTCGGCCGAGGCCCACTGACTATAATCCTCGCCCACAAGTTTCCACTTTCCACTGTTCGTGAGTGTGACAAGTGGTTTTCATTGTCAACACTTATACCCGTACAACACTACTTGTACAATATAAGACGCATATATATATATAACATGTATTTCTCATTTCAACAACTGTGACAAACTTCAATGCCAACCAACAAGCAGGACTCCTATGTGCAGACTATCCTGCTCGTCACACTAAAAAGAAGCAAGCTATATTCATGCCTTGACAGTTGTTTGAAAACCAAGCAAGATATGGGACAAACAAAATCGGAGCAGAAAGATTACGAAAAGCATACTCTTACAACTGCTATATAAATAGCTTAGATGACGGGATGCTTGGATTTCAGGCAATGGAGATTGTTTGGGAGACAGTGGAGTTCGTCGGAAACACCGTGGCTTTGGTTTCTATTCTTATTGTAGCCAGTACCTGTTTTTGTGTTTGTGGTTGTTTGATGCAAGAACCTTGACATGGCGGAACAAAGCGTACAGGTGTGTTTTAACAATTCAATTGTTCGGTCAGGGAAGCAGATTGAAAATGGCCTGGTTTGTTGACTACTCTTTATTTGCTGTGTCGACCATCACATGTGCGGCACTGCATGTAAAGTCATGCTGCAGCTGGGCAATAAAGGTGCACATGTCCATTTTTTGTCCAAAGTCCGTATTGCGAAGCGACTGTCGTTCCCGTTTCCGGAAAAGCTGAGCCTGTCGTGTCATCGCCATAGTGAGGTGATTTTCTTTTTAGCTGGATTGCTATTTGCAGATACCTTACTGGACTCGGTGGGTATCATTCGCCCTGTGGACTTTGGAAGCTTGATCGAAGGAACCTGTTGTTTGTTGCAAAATCAGGCCAATTGACTTTTGTGCTTTAAGGATGGCTTTTGGTGCTGTATGTGGCCCTATTGTTGATCCGGACCATCATGTTGCTTGGTCAGGAGGGTACATTTGTACGTTATTTACATAATCATCACAATAAATAGATACTGCCATGTGTGGAAGCAAGTTGAGGTCAGAAAAAAAGACAAAACCCAACAAGTTTGTGTCGAATATTTACAAATACATCAACGCGTCTTGATTAAGAAACTCTGTTAAGCTTGTGATTCCTGTCAGCACCTCTTTTAGGTTGGGTGTCTTGTGGATTCCACTGCACTGGGTGCCTTGGCGAATCGAGAAAGCCGCCTCTCCAAAGCTGCTAACTTGTCGCCCATGTTACTTTCCTTGTCGCTCCTCAGCCCAGGTGTTCGTTTCTACACAGTGTTCTAGCCACAGTTTTGGGTGTATACAGTTTTGGCTAGCTGTTTCCATTTAGAGTACATACCGGACACAAGGTGCGCTTAAACGTTTTGGTTCTGCTCTCATGGGAGTTAGCCTTTCTGAGGTTGGGAATCCCATTGATTGGCGAGAGGGCATTGCCATGATATGGAGCGGCCTGCGAGGATATACGGTAAGAGTCATGAGTCATTCGCTCTTTGTTTCTTGACCTGAGATCATTCTGTGCAAAAGAGCCTTTGGATCTTAAACATTCAAAAAGGCTCTTTGAATGCTATCTTTGCAATTTGGGCTGGCAAGCTGGTCGAGTTTCGCAGGGGCTGTTTCTCTCACTTTGGCAATCATCATTGATGAAGAGCCTGCAGTGTCAAGGTGCTCCGAGAAATCCCAAGAACTTCTTTGGTAAAAACGCAATGTTCCCATGATATTGCTGTATTCCAAGGGCTTTCAGTTCAACTTCGATGCTTTGCCCCTTTGAAAGATATAATGTTTGCATGGTTCGATTGGGTAGCTCGGGCGGCCTGTGCTCTTGCTCAATACGCCTGCTTTGTATACAATAGAGATTGTAAGGCTTGATTGGCGTTGCACAATCAAAACTTGCAATACTTGAGTGATTGCATTGCTGTACCTCCCTGAGGGAGATGGGGGCTCGCATTATGTTCCACGTGGGTGGCATTGCTGCGTTAACGCTTCTGGTAAACGCGACCACTGCGGCACCTTTGTTGAGGTGGTTGGGTCTGGCCAGGAGAGGTTTGATTTCAATCCCTTCAATGTCAATCAACAGGTTTTTGTTGTTATTGGCTAGACTTCTACAGGAGCGTACGAGACGCAAATATCACACATGTTCCTTGTTTCTTTGTTTTCACACCTCTTCTCATCTATGTTTGATCCCCATTCCTCCCTATGTAAGCGCTCTGCAAGTAACTTCTTCAAGCGTGAAGATTCTAGCAATGACAGGAGCTCGAATGCCGATCAGAGAAAGTTGGCAGTGTTGACAAAGCACTTGGCAGACCACACGCAAGAGATTAAGGCTGGCAGGACATCAATGCATTCTTGTGTAGCAGATTTGGCAATGCTAAATGTTTGGCTTGCATTGTTTGCGGCATTTAGTCACTGCGCAGGGACAGCTTGATCCAGCAGACGTTCGCTTCAAGGGTATTGATGAGGCAACAGTGGTGAGCACAGCGGCATTTGGCACTTGAAGCGTGGTAGTTCAAAATTAGCTCCCCAGTTTTGCCCACAACAATTCTTTTTGCGTCGAAACATGGTTGTTAATGGTCGCCCATGCATTTCCGTCCCACCATTTGCATCTTGCCGAACGCGTAGCGAAGGGTTCTCGTTCAACTCTGGGGGGGTCTGGGGGTAGACTGTGTGGAGGACTATTTTACTGCGCAGGTGCAAGGTTTTGTGAGATTCTCAGTTTTCTTTGCTGTCAGATTGGGATTGGCGTCTAGAGGGTGGTTTTTTTGAGGTGCTGGATGTGGCTGTGACATTGGGATGTGCGTTTGAGGCTGTTGCTTGGAAGCGGTGTTTTCGTGACAATTCTCAGCAAAAATGCGATTTTGGTGGATGGGAGTGTGCTCAGAACGTGTTGAAATCATTCCAAGCGTGTGGTGTGGTACTTTGCTGAAGACATGAAGATGTCATGCCATCACTCTTCGTGGCAGGCGCAGGGAGTCGTGAGGTTGCGACGTTTGGTGGAGGTGAATGTCGCTCTGACATTGATTGGGATTCGCGTCTCAGCAGCTGTGGTTTTGAGGGGCGAAACCGCTTGGCAGGCTGCAGAATACGTTGTCTCTGATGAGACTTCCCGTTTCACTTTTGCTTGTTTTGGAGACTTTGACACGTGACTTTTGGAGGACGTCTTGTGCGAAACGCTCGTCTTGGACACTTGACTGTGCGAGTTGCTCGTTTTGCAGCCTTTAAGTGTGAGTTTTTGGAGGAAGTCTCGTACGAAATGCTCGTTTGCAGACTTGACGTCTGACTATTGGAGGAAGTCTCGTACGAAACGCTCGTTTTGCAGTGTCCCACGAGAGTGCCCCACAAGAGTGTCGCGCAATAGTCGACAAGAGTGTCCCCTCTTGTGGGACATTCTTGTAAGACACTCTTGTATGCGGGGTGTGAGACACTCACTTGCGACACTCTGGTGGGACACTCTTTGGGAAACTTGTAAGACGCTCTTGTGATCTCTTGTGGGACACTCTTGTAGGACACTCTTGTGGGCCACTCTTGCGGGACACTCTTGCGGAAAACTCTTTTGGGACACTCTTGTGAGACACTCCGGGACACTCTTGTAGTACACTCTTGTGCTAAACTCTTAAACTCCATGACCCTTTTGTGGAGCACTCATGTACAACACTCTGGTATGGCACTCTCGTGGACGTTTGTTTTCGAGTGCTTGCACTCGGGCTCGTGTGCCCATCTTGTTTTTCACAGGGTGCGGCTAGAACGACTAGACACTAAGCAACTTCCTGGTGTGTACCTTTTGGCTACCGTGTTTACAAAATGCTGGACTTGCTCCGCGTTATTTCCAGAGGCCATGCTGCGCGCCATGGTACCTTCGCTTGCAGAACACGTGAAGGCAAGGCCTGGAAGATGAATAATAATCGAGGTGTTTGACCAAATTGCCGGCGCATGTTTTGACATGTTCTAGGCAGTTTG